CCATCGCTTACCGCTCTCTTCAGGGCAATAGAATCGTCCAAGTAGCACGATCATTTTGAAGCCTTCAGACGAGTAATCGTCATCGGATAGTTTCAGCCACTTCTCTTCAATGGTCAAATATTCAAAACCAAGAAATACTCCGATAATACGGTTGAAGATGCAAACCGGAATATTTTATGCTGTTCCATGCGGAAGATATTTTATCTCGCCAATTGGAAGCATTCGAAGAAGAGCTCGAATGTGTCGGTTCTGAACTACGCCAACTGGACCATGCAGAGCCAGCTCTGAAGCACAATTCAATCAAAATCCTTGGGTGTGAGAGCTACTACCAACTATTCTCAGCAATGAAAAAAAACGCGAGTTTCGTGACGAAAGTATCTTACACGAACCTTCGGGTAAAATAGCACAGCTAATACACGGCGTAGCGCTCTACAAGAAGAACCCGAACATCCCCAGGACTTCCACCTGGGCAGTCAAATAACACCTAATCAGCCTGTGATGGTCAGAACACTCTCACAACGTCGGTTCGGTGCCACAACATCGAACGTCGGCTCGATCCCCAAGTCCCATAGCCACGCAGTTGCATTTGAAGGCCTCTTCGATTTCTAATGAGATAGAACACGGAACAGACAAGAGGGATGTTCAAAACAGACTACATTGTTCTTATATACGCATATTCCACGCTACGAAAAGAGCGAACATAGATCAGGTTCTCTTGCCTCCATTGTTAATCCAATAATCTCATCCCGTTCTAATGCCCTTCCACCCATACTTTGGCGAGTACCCTATTGCCCAAATGGGTGGCGACCACCGACCGAAGCGCCACACTATTACCGCACAATTTCCTACCTCAAAGGGAAGAACACTAAAAAAATACTACTCACTTGCGCAACTTGCTTCGCCACCAGCCATCGTAGGTCTCCTCCTCTGGAGCAGTACTGCTACTTGGAGTGCAAAATTCTGCAGGATCTGTCAGGCTTGATCTACCAGATGAGCAGACGTCTTCTGGCGACGACAAAGGCGAAGCTGAACATCTCCCTCACAGATCCGTCATTTCCTTCTGATTGACTAACAAAATACATCTAAATATGGGTGCAGTGCACCACTAACAGCAAGTTCGCCACGGTTGAATTCTTAATTTCAAACTTTTGAAATACAGAGATTTGCAACAATTCACATGATCACTTATCAATCCCTTCTGTTGAAAAGTCCGTGTATAGGGAGCTTCCTTAGTAGCCCTCCTTTCTCAGGAGAGAGGGTTAACCATGGATAGGAATGCAGAACTAACCGAGCATACATCAATGGGCGTAACTTAGAGCAAAAGGCGGGCTCGACCCACCTAAGAAGCCCTTACCATGGCTAGAAGTGGATTCTGAGTTCAAAAGTAGCGCCACCTTTCTACATCGAAACGCACAACTAGGACCCTAGGGCACACTCTAACAGACTCCACCAACTTAACATGGTCCGCCCACCGTTCGATATCTTGTCTGCGTCGCCACGTTGATCTGCTATGCTCTCTTCTCGGACTTCTCTACCACTCTCCGCGCTCACATTATCTCTCATCTCCCTGCCTGTCTTTTGAACTTCTTCACAGCATGGAGAGCAAAATGCTCGTATTTCCTGTGTATTTCTAGGAATTTTCTTTCCTTTTTTCTCCACTGGCGGTCCACCTTCGATCCCTCCTCTCACGTTTGTGTGAATCAATCCCCCATCAATTCAATCGTGATGCTTGCCTTTTAGCCGCCCTATATCCGCTGAGAATTCCACTCCCCACTTGCCCAATTCCATAGAATTAAAGGTAGCATTTCTAAATGATATAGAGTAGACAGTTTCAAAAAGAGAAACATACTACCTTTCTCTCTCAGGACGACGCCGTTACAAAATTCCAAGTTTGTGGGCCTGCATCCGCTTTCGAAGGCAATGGCCGAATCGGGACGTTCCATGTTGATTCCAACAGGATTGTTTTCCCATCTAAGCACTCTTAGAAGTCGAACATCTGAAGCGGGTTGGTTTCGACCAGGAATATACGACTTAGGCACTCAACAAAAAGGCCAAGAAAATCACGGATTTGGGAGGAAAAAATCACACATCAAGATAGAAGGGAAGAACGGAATTAGGCACCAGTCATTCCAAAAACGTGGGTTCTTATGATTCACGATAGCAATCGGAAGTTACCGTACACCAATACGTGAAGATTGCCCAGAACCGAAAAATTCATTCCATAACAATAACAATTTGACACTCGAAACCCTATCGATCAATACTTGTGCCCGAAAATGGCTATAACAGAATCACAGCATACATTCTGAAATTGCGGTTAAAGTGATATGGTTACCCAAATAAATATTTACCGGAAGAGATTACATGAGATTATCCTAGGCACCCCAGATGGACTCTATCAGCAAGGCAATCAATACATATAACAACTAATTACACACTTCTATCAGAGATTTCATATTCAAGGGTAGAAATATTTCATTATGAACAAAATGCTCCAGTTTGTGACCAGGACATAGTCCATTGTTCAGTTCCGCTTGACAGAAAAACACGTCTTTCGTGACATCTTTCCCGTTATAGAGGAACCGCAGGAATATTCCGTCCTTCGCAGATGGACTATCAACCAACTCATAAAACTGCAAAGAACATCGTGTGAATATAACAAGTAAACAGAGAAGTCTAAACACTTCAAATTTACCTCTATTACTAGACGTGATACATAGTGTGGTGGATCTATGAATGGTATTTTCAGTACTACCAAAATCGGTGCAAGGGTTACATCATGGCCAGAGAAGATCTGCAACTCAATATATTCATTTGATGCCCTGTATTCTGACTGTACACCAAAGCAGTAGCAGAAATCCAGCCTGTGCCGCGTGCGGGCGCGTCGCGGCTTAGACTGATTGCCTGCGTTGCGCTAGGTAGATAGCTGGAAAGAGAATGCAGCTTACCGACCTGTATAGTATTTGTATGAGGAAACCTCCGCAGATTTGCGACCGTCTCAGCTATATGATATAAAACTCCGTGAGCTTCCACCAAATTCATTTTCTCTACAACATAACGCGGACCTTCGTCGAACATCACTTTTTTGCGAGTCGTCGTCTCATTAAGAAGCTGAAAATTTCATAATGCCATGTGAAAAGGTGGGAGAGGGGGGGGGTTAAATTAAAGTTTGTGAATCTACACTGGCTTAAAAATTCATAGCTCAAACAAAACGATCTGCCAAAGCATGGGAGGGCTTTCCGACGGCACACATACCTTAATATGAACAGTCAATTAATACGAATAGCCGAAATATGCACCTCGATCACAAAGAAATGCTCTTATGTTCTTATGGTAAACTTGATCACCTTTTGGGAGCATCTCGCAGGACTAGCATTTGAAGGAGTGTGGTTATTCTCGCGCTGGAAGCTCCAAGCTTCCTGACAATGAGATCTACTGGCATGCTACGATCTTTCTACTATGCGATGCCAGGCGTTCCGCATTTGTTAATGTGCATTGTAAAAAGCGGAGAGACGCGCGCGGTAGCGTCACAAAAGATGGATGTGAACGGCTTTCAGAAGGGGAAACGTGTGCCAAATAAGAAAAAAGGTTCTTTTGGAATTCCAAAAACGCAGCAGCTATTCTAGTGCTCGGTTCTCATTGCCAATAGGATCTCAGTGTCGCATTGTGACCGCAAGCTGGCAGTGCTTGTGAGACTCATAACCTGCCCCTTGTCCAATCCAGCACAACCATACATTTAAGATAAACCCAGCACCCAATTCAAAATAAACCACAACATTACCTTCCTAGAGCAACGTCGAGTATTTGAAAGGGGTCCTTGGCATGAAGAAAGCAGTGTGACTCCTGACCACTTCTGCTTGTCTTTTTAAGTGTGCTGGTGAACGTTGAACGAAGTACTCGTAGCGCTCCTAAAAATCAGCACAAAATTTAAACAATTACAAACGGAAATCCCAAATGAAATCACCTTCTCAAACTGCCCTCTCCACCTTTTCGCTCTATTGCACGCACAGTTTTCACTCGTACAAAGAAATGTGAAATTCGACGCCTGTAAATTGGGATCAATGCCACGCAAGTTCATTGAATGACATGAGGTCTGATGAAAACATCTACAGGGAATGAAATATTGGTAAAATCATCACCTGAACGTATATCTGCGGTATAGACGATTTACTAGGGAACAGGAATGAGGAAGTAAAGGCAATAGCAGACTGAAGTGTGCGATTGTAGCGAGAAGACGTCACAGTAACGTTAAGCCGAGAATCTGAAATAGTGATTAAGAATTTTGACATGTCTAACAATCGATGACACATTCAAAATCAGAATTCTGCTCAACTACGCATTCCATTGAGCACAAATGGAAAAGCAAAGCATATATTCGTGGATCTATCACACAAAAAAGGAACAATGCTTAATAATTTATCAATTACCTGTGGAGAAGATATTTGACTCCAGATACTTTTCGCGCATGTATTTTCCGAACTTTATATGCTGCAAAGCACCTTCTGCTGTCATTTGGCCGGCCGAACATTGTGCTCTGAAAGAGGAAAATGGGGTGTAGCGCAATCCTTGCAGAATGCTGAATCTGAATTGTGATATTCGCGATTTCTGTTCAGGTGAAACCCTCCCAACCCAGGCCGGACTTTGCAAAAAAAACAAATCATGTAAGGTGGAAGATTCGGCGTTGATCAATCCCTTTTCATGATACTTCACGGTACTAACCAACCCAGAAAGGAGATAAGGCTCACTTGGCACGCAAAAGGTACGATTCGAGGTTTAACGCGGGAGCGTGAGCGAGAAAGTGGCGCCGCTTGTCACAGCATCGCCCACGGTGCCATCGCAAAAACTACTATCGCATAATTACTAACAAAATAGCAAAAAGGAAAATAAAATCGACCGGGCTGAAATTAACACTCACTGTGAAGGGATTCTGGAGAAGTTTGCAAATCTGTCGTCAGTACGTAAAAAGTAGTTGAAATCATCACTTTCCATCAAAATTTTGTAATTTTCAAAATCTTGACGGTCTTGCTCCCTAAACGGAACACAACCAATTGCATCGTCCTCTGCGAACAACGAAGATCTGCAAAAGATAGCATTACTAACGGTACCTCTTCGCTAAGTTAAAACTATTACCAAGACAAATCAAATCATTTGGTAAGACGTTTGAACTGATAATAACAAATATGT